TTTTTTTAAGTGAAAAGATTAAAAAACATTTTTATAGTGATTTTAAGTTTTTTATTTTGAAATTGTCATAATTTAATATGACATACAAAAAAAAACAAAGGAATTAAAAAAAAACTAATAATAAACTTTAGGATTAAAAAAAACTTTTTTTAAGTAGAAAGTGAGTAAAAACATTAAAAAACTTTTTATTTATTAAAATAAAAGGATTAAAATATAGTTTTAACTTTTTTACTGACATTAAAAATGCTATGGCAGTGGCAGAGAGAAGAGAAAAGGCTACAAAATATTGAAAAGAAAGGAAAAGCAGAACGAAAAGAAAAGAAAAGAAAAAAGAAAAGAAAAGAAACGAAGTCGGAGGGCGGAGGCCAAAAAACCAAATGCTGCCATGCCAAAGCGTTAACTATCCTTCACTCTGATTTGAAAACCAGAAGAGTGTTGTCCCTCTCTCTCGCTCTTCCTTCGTATTCGCTTGCTCTGCACTCAATATCAGCAGAAGCTTATCCAGCTGGAAAAGTGGAAGCCAAATCGCCGGTAACTTTTTAGCTGGCAGTCTGGCACAGTATCTGATGCTTAGAAACTTGCCTTGATGCTTTGATTCTTGCTTCCTTTACAGATCCATATCTGCTAGGATTGTATTGACTCTTCGATCGACCGGCAGAGTAACTCTAGGATGGCAGAGGATTGCTGCGCCACGCAATTGATCGATGGAAACGGAGATTTCAATGTCGACGGGCTCGAGAAGTTCATGCGGACCACGAAGTTGTCCCAGTGTGGTCTGTCCTATGCTGTGGTCGCGATCATGGGGCCTCAAAGTAGCGGTGAGTGGATTTAGTCTGATTTGACTTAGGTTTCAGTTGAGTTTGAGCTCATACGCGCTTGAAATAGATCGCGAGAATTGATTTGAAGTTTATTTGAGTTTTGTTGGTATAGGAGAGTTTAGAATTTGATGATGGTTTGCCTTTTTAATTTCAACTGTAATAAGAACTCTAGGAAAGTGAAGTTTTAGAACAGGTGGTGGATCCACTCAGTGCCTTTACGCTTTCAGATCAGCTGTTCCGTTAACTACTAGAAATGTTGAACATAATAATTCAGGCAATGCCAATGGGGGGTTATTTTATCTTTGTTTCATAGGGTTGGCACTTGGACCGCATTTATATGAATCAAGGATCTGAATGGGGCATAAGTGAGCATCAATTTGTGAAATTTCGTTTATTTTCTGGTTCATGTTGGTGTAGATATTTTAAGGTTTTTTTTATTTTTTCAATTTAGAAAATTGGCCTAAAAAACATCTTAACAGATATACTTCATTGATCCTTTCTTAACTGAATTTTCAGCTTCAAGAGCAATCAGAAGCACAAGATATTGAGGCTTTGGTTGAGAATATTTCTAATTTAATGGTCCGTGGGTTCATAGTCTAGATTACCAGTTCCATACTGCATGCCAGACTCTTTTAGCATCACATAACTGGGTTATACTACTATACTACTTTGTAATTGTGCATCTGATACTTAAGAGAGTGACTTTCCCCCCATTCTCTTGTTCAACAGGAAAGAGCACTCTAATGAATCATCTTTTCTATACAAACTTTAGAGAAATGGATGCCTTTAGAGGAAGGTCTGTTACTTCAGTTTCCTGCAATTTTTCAGTTTCCTGCAATTTTTCAGTTTCAAATGAAAGAGATATTTTGTCCTATTATCTCCATTCTTCCTGTTTGTTTTTCTGCCAACACATTTGTATGCTAAATAATCCTTACAGGAGTCAAACCACCAAGGGCATTTGGATAGCAAAGTGCATTGGCATAGAACCTTTCACAATTGCCATGGATTTGGAGGGCACTGATG